ATATATATATATATATATATATATATATATATATATATATATATATATATATTAATTTTTCTTGTTAGCTGTAGGATTATTACAAATTTGATGTATTCTTTTCAGAGGATTGCATTTGTTTTACTGGTTTTCTTGGAACTCTGAAATTAAGCAGTATTTGAATTATCCAGCCACGCAATGACGAAAAAGCATCTGTGAACTCCACACTAATAGTTTCTTCTATCTGGTATTTAACCGAGTTGAAAATAGGTAATAACTAATTAGTGCATGTTGCTTGGCAAGACTGTTGTTGAAGAAATGGCTATTAGATGGACACTTTTTCCGGACTGTAGCAGCCAAGGGCTTTTCCTGGTCTCTTTATGGTGTTGAAGAATTCTATGCCATCCTTAGTATTCTTGCCATGCAGATTCCTGGTAAATATTACACGACTAGCCCGACTCTTGGACCCAACCCTTTTTTGGCTCTTTTTTATGTTTTTTTTTTTGGTATTTGATGTTCAGATCTCATGATAGCACAAGGATATTGTCTCTAAATTTGATTTGGCTTTTTAACTCGCAATTACTTATCTGAAAAGGTGAAGCCAGAATATCCAAAGGGTTATCTCCGTGCCTTTTCCGCATCATATCCCTTCTTTATACCAGAATATTAAAATTTGTGTTCTGCTATATTCTTTGATTTTTGGAACTTATCTCCGTTTGTCTTGTGCTATGAAGCACGGACACTGTCGAGAACGTGACGTATCCGTGTCGGACACTGACACTCTTTGGACACGTGTCCGGTACTCTTTTATCTGTGTCCATAATTAAATGATAAATTTTTAATTTTGGACACGTGTCGGATACTTCTTTGGTGACGTGTCTGACATTTCTTTAAAACTTGTCTATTACTAAACAATAGACATTTGTTGAAATGTGATTAACAAAATTTAAAAATTTGAAAACATATAATTACTAATACTAGACATATTAAAGTTGTACTCCAAATATAATAATAAAAATAAAAGATACATAAAAGTTTTAAAAAAAAAGAATTGAGAAAATGAGAATAATTATTTAAATTATATATTAGGTACACATTGTCTACAAAAAAAATTTGATAATTATTGACTATAATGAGGATGTTTTAGTCTAAAAATTCACACAGATGGCTAGATATTAGGTTTTTTTTATTATAAAATACTGATTTTTTTATGAATTGTATGTCATTATAACTATATTTGTAATAAATTATTGTTATATATAAAATATTTTTTTTTTGTAGCTTGTCCCTAACGTGTCCGTGTTCTACTTTTTTGAGAAATGTCGTGTCGGCGTGTCCATGTCGTGTCGTATCCGTGTTCCGTGTCTGTGTCCGTGCTTCTTAGGTCTTGTGCATTGGTGAACTTGTGAGGCTAGAAATCATAATATTGATGCTCAAATTTGAGGGAAGCTACTTTTGTGCAAATAATGTAAAAGGTGAGGTTGATACCAAATCCACTAGATCGATCTTCCTCAGTTATAGGAGCCTAAACTGGATAATAGTCCTTTCTTATTATTGTCCATATATCTTCACCCCCATATGTTTTTGTTGCCCCTTTTGACGTGTCATCATTATTTTCTTAAACATGCTCTGTTAATTTTGTAATAAGCTGCTTACATGTAATGGCTAGTTGCTGAAAACTTATTTTTGACTACATATCACTTGTCTTTGAATTTGTTGTGATTGTTTTTTTTTCTGCAATCTCTCTTTATTTCTTCGTGCAGTATATTCAGAAACAAATCACTACACTTGAAGATGGCATTAGGAGATCTTGGGCATCTGTCAGACGATCGGAAGATCGTAGATGGTGTAAGTACTCTGTGTATAGTTGGGTTTTGGGAACATGCAACTGATGATTTATTTCTATTTTTTAATATGAAATTCAGGGTTTAATTCCTTAATTATTGAATCGTTTGAACTTGATGGTAATAATTGTCCTTAACTTGCTATTCATGATATTGGGATAGTGTGTGAAACCCACTATGTGACCAGACCAAGTGACATCATGGACCAACAAGACCTTGTCCTATGCTCCTATATTACCGTTTGTTCAATCACTACTGGGTATTATCCTGGCATATTGTGCCTTCCTTTTTATCCTTCCTGAGAAGGTTTTGAAAGAGATTTATCAAGAGCTTGGAAGATTTTTCTGGAGTACGACAGAGCTTAGGAAATCTATCTCAAAAGCTGAAAAGAATATTACTAGACAAACAAAGGAACGAGTCTGGGTATTATCTGCAGGAATGGAAGGGTCCTATGATGGCGAAACCTATGTGGCACCTGATCTCAAATGTAGTAGTCTGGGTAAAAAGGTCCAAAGACTCCACATCCATAGATTCGAAGGCAAATGTTTTTGTATGGTTGGCAGCTCACTGCACTGTATATGGTGTTTTAGGCAATTGTTTTAGTTGAGAGATGAAAGTAGGTCTCATGTAGAGCATGTTATTGGAATTAGACAGGAAACTTTGCTTGGCATGACAATTGGCTATCTTATGGTTCAGTAGTTCCAGAAATGCGTACCAGAGTCATCAATGTGGCCGGAATAAATTGACCACTGGACCGACAATTAGCTTATCAAAAATTCTAATGGATGGAGCGGGCTGTAACCAACACAGGAAAACTGAACTAAACAAGATGCCATCACATGGAAAGGGATGGTCTATTTCCAACTGAGTCAGCTTGGAAAGCTTTGAGATGTCCATCCTTCCTGCTGTTTTTGTTTCACGAGAGGGATACCTCGACACTCATCTATCGTGCATTGGGAGAGCAAGAAAAACTGAACATTCCTGATAGATTTCCTGCTTTTAGATCAAATCAACTGTTCAAATGTGTGTTTTGCAGCTTAGTTAAGGATCAGTTCATTTTTTTCCCCTACTGAATCGACCAAAATGTTTTCTGAGGTAATTGAAACTATTCACCAAAATTTCAAAATGAAATTTTGATCTTTGAGGCTAGGAACTGACAGTCTCTGTTTGTTTCATTTTTGCTGAAAGGGCTGCCAATCACTGGAAGGGTAAAACTCTCTCCAAAACAATTTACAAATTGTTTTAGGAGCTACAGGTATTGCATAGGGAGAGAGAGAAACTCTGGAACCTTTTTCAATGACAACAATGTTGTATCCTTGAAAATGAGATTGTTGAATTGGTCAGGAATAAGCTTTTTATGTACCAGTGCAAGTTGCTTAAGTGTGGTTTGGGCGTTTGGTGTTTGACAGGATAGGATGTGGTCTTACAGACCTGATAAATTCTGAAACTCTTAGCCTGGTAATTGTGGAATTCTTCTTCTAATGATCATGTTGTTATCTTGTTTGCTCTCAGTGTGTTACTAAGTTATAGGTACTGGTTGCAGACAGTATGTGGCTCTTGAAAAAAAGTATGCATGTGTTCAGGCGTTTACTAGGCTGGGCATTCCCTAGTAGGCATGTTAGTTTGGTAATGGCTTTGCCTTTTTTGGAATACAATGCATACTTTTCTAAAATGTAGGAAACCTGTTATGTCCAAATTGAGAATATGGATTGTAAATAGACAAACCAATAATCTTATTCTGATCAGTCCTCTCGTTGGCAATCTCTTGGGTAGCTATGCAGTCATCTTCTAGCACCACTCCATATGTTTTTATGGTAGATGTTATGTGAAGAGACAAAACATGCCAGTGAAACTTAGGTGTTATGTGAAGAGACAATACATGCATGTGAAACAGCGTTTAGTTGTGATGAGAAACTTGGCATTGGTTGACCTTTTACATGTATTGTATAGGAAATAGGAATAATAGACGTATAGAGAACATTTGTTGGGGGTAATCTTATCATACAAGGCTATATAAACATTAAATAATCGAGAACATGAATCTTTATGCACTTCCCTCTCAATCAGTGTGATACGAAATCTGCAATGATCTAAATTATTTGCTTTTAACTGTTCTAGTTGTCATTCTGTTTCATTCAGCTGAAGAGGAATCTTCCGAGACTTTGGGTGGAGCTGTATTTAGATGTAATGAATCAGTTGATGAGCTCTTCATTGCCACTTTTGACAGCATCAGGGATACTGCAGCTGATGCTATCAGAAAATTTTGCGACTTCACTGGTAAGCATATAAACTTACTGTGGTTTGTTTTGATAGAGATCTCCAATAGCGATACAGAGACAGTAAATGTAAAAATAATTCTAATTGCTGCTATTTTGTATTACAAAGTTTTTAGTATTGTGTAGTTCAAACCCTTGCTCGTTGTCAATATGTCATACAGTGTTGTAAAACATAATCATGCAAGACAAATGCATGCAGTTATGATCACGTATAATCAAGATAGCGAACCTGGATTCTATAACCTGTCATTTAATAGCTGTGAATTTAGAACTAGGGTTTGATTAGAAGAAGAAATAGAGGTGGCTGAGAGAGAAGAGCGGAAGAGGTTTCAGAGGGAGAAATCAATCTCCCCTACACCTTTCTCACTACACACACACACACACACACATATATATATTGATTCCTTTTAACTTAATTCTTTCTCTTCTAGAGATGCTAAAATAAACATCAGATTTCCTACCTTCATTAATTTGGATAGGCTTAAATTGCCTGCTTGATCTATTGGATCTTACAGAATCAAAGGAGATTCTTACTAACCCATCTGATAACTGTTGGATATTTTCAAGGTTAGTTGTAGTATTTTCACTTTCTTTATTATAGTTTTCATTTTCAACTGTCTAAGATTCTGGGAGTAACATTTTTTCATTCAAGTCTTTTGGGGACTTGGCTGTTAGAATCATTAGTACTGGCTTGGATGAGCATTATTTTATCTTTAGGATGCTTCTTAAGTGCATGCACATTCAGGTTTGTAGTCATGCATTTATAGTATATCCTATAGATAAGTACTAGGGATTGGGTCTCTTTTATCAGTTTGGTAATTTCACCTGACAATTTTATACCTAAGGTTAAAGCCATAGGTGTATTTTTGCAACTAAGATTTAGGGTAAAGTCTGAAAAGCAGTTAAAATAAATTGGTTCGTTATGGAGACTAGTCTTCATTATTCCTAAAATGCTAGGTTCATATTCTATGAATCTAGCATCTCTTAGGGTTAATAGAACTGCTGCATCTTTACCAGGTGACATTAATAGTTTAATTGCTACCTGAACTAAACCAAGGTGGATAAAATTAAAACCTTTTTCCCTATGTTTCTGTAGGGCTTTTTTACTAATTAATTGACAAGTTTCTTCCTCTTTGCTGAGAGTATAAACCTGTTCAATTGTTTTTACTTGAAGTTCAGAGTTGAATATTTTTGGAATCCAACTCGTCTTCTAGATATTACGATGGGATACCTTTGGGATATTCCATCCACTCCCGTCTACTTGTGACTCGTGGTGTTCTTCTTCTTCCTCATTTACTATATTAGGTATAGTACTAAATGAAGAACTAGATGAGCTAGCCATAGAGTTAGATCTGAATAATCTACTCATTATTAAATCTAATTTTTCAATTATGTAAATTAATGTTTAAGTTTGATTCCATTGTACATACCCCCTAACATACATGCTCTCATAATATGTCTCTGTTTTCCTAAACTGCCTACACACGAGGACTTACAAACAGGACATAAATGAGACTCTCCCTCTTGAGCTGACAAAGGCTAGGTGACAAGGGTAAACCAAACTAAACAATGATTTCCTAAATTGAAATAGAATAGATTTAATACAAGTAAGATAATTCAAATATAACTGCATGGGTAGCTATCCAGGCCGTCAAATGGCTCTGATACCAAAATAAGAAACAAGTGCGGAATAATAATAGACATGAGAAGAATCACAAGCTGTAGATATAAGAGTGGTGATAAAAATTAAAATTTGTTCATATAAATAAGTGCGGAATAATAACAGACATGAGAAAAATTACAAGCTATAGATATAAGAGTGGTGATAAAAAATAAAATTTGTTATTAAACCTTGTTTATATGAACAAGATACAAATTTCAATATCAAAAAATAAAATACTTACAACACTAGCACTACTGGGCTAGTGGGTGTAGTGGGATAAGAGTGAGAGGCTCTTCATTTGCATCATTATGAAGGCTTCTTACAATATAGTGTATAGGGATAATAAACTTTGTGTTTAGTGAAGGCTTAGGAGAGTTCATGGATGACAAAACATAGGTGAAGCAAAGCTTTTTTAGATACTGAAGACTGTAATCCTTATATAGGCGTAAAGAATTTTGAAGGAATCTCTGGTATGATTACTCCGTTGTCTTCAGTGGCTGCTTTATCTTGGATAAAGTGTTTTCTTAACCTTTCGGTGGAAAGTAGAGGTGAATTACTTTTTCCAAAGTAAATGCTGCTTTTAGTGGCAGGTGGGTCCTGCTGTTGTCTGAAGGAATCTACTTTCGGTGGAAAGCAGATTTGACAAATGGCTAATGACTACTTTATTAGGAGNCAAAGTAAATGCTGCTTTTAGTGGCAGGTGGATCCTGCTGTTGTCTGAAGGAATCTACTTTCGGTGGAAAGCAGATTTGACAAATGGCTAATGACTAAAGAGCCATTGTACCAAATGATTCCTTACCGATATATGTAATAGACAACTTTTATTTCTTTAAAGAAGAAAGTAGTAATTGAAGCTATCACACATATGGACAAGTATCATTATGGGGTAGATATCTCTACCAGATGATCATACCCTGCATAAGGATCCTGACTGTCTTGGAAGGGATTCAATGTAGGGGTGACTGATGCCTGTGAGGATGCTGAGGAATTGTTTTCATTGGCTGCTTGTTGAAGAAGTTTTTGTGCTAGCTCGATGAGGGTAGTAGACTTCTTCTTGGATTGCTTGCTGGAGTCCTTAGAAGAGGACTTTTTCTGCTTGGGTCCTTCTGTAGTGGATTTCTTGGGCTATTCTGGAGTAGAAATCCTGAGAGAAGGCATGACCTGCTTGACTGGAGTTGCAGGGGTTAAGGTTGCTGGAACCGCTACTGGGGTCGGAACCTTGACTGGGAACTCCTGTTTGACACGGTTAATTATTGGTCTTTGCTGGAATCTGGGCCACCATTTGACTAATAATTTCCCACTTCCATTTGCATATCCATAGGACTTTGTACATGCAAATAAATGTTAGTAAAATAGGAAATTGCCTTTCATGTTTACTAGGTCTATAAACAGAGGAGAAGGCTGATATTGGAGATCACCTGGAAAGATTTCATGAATGGGGCCGTGAATAAACCACCACTGTGCGAACCAGGATGAGATCTGGCTCTTGAAATCTTTATGAAACTGTAGGAACCAGTAATGATCTAATGAATTATTCTGGTAGAGGATAAGCTTACACCATGATTTGTTATAATCATAGTAATTAAATTTTCTTTTATGATAGGGTAAATCTCGGAGTAAAGAAGGGTGATATCCCTAGTCTTTGAGAGAGATAATCTTCAAAATATTTAAAGAATGATAAATAACTTTACTCGGATCATTTTTATCAAGTGTGGGCTTGACAAAAATGGACTGAGTATAAAATAGTATATCCTGATAGAATTAAAAGGTCTTTTCAGGATCAGATGGGATAAAGATCCATTTTGGCTCAAGGTAAACAGTAACTAAGTCCATTGGGTCGCTTAAGTGAGCATGGACTGGTTCAATAGCAAATACATTGTGGGTACAAGCTTTGGTGTAATCAACCTTTGGGTCTTTAGGGACAAACTGAGGTTGGTGTTGAGAATATGGGTTAACAAGTTGGCTAGAAGTGCCAAGTTGGGCTGAGATAATAGGTCTTGGGGCCTGCTGGGCCATTTAGGTTAAACAATCTTCCCAATAGGGAAGAAAGTTCAGATGACTCAAGCAGCTCTGAAAATTCTTCAGACTACCAGTTAGCTTCTAGCAACCCCAGTGAACCTAAAATCAAGTTAGGTTGTAAAGATAGTTGCCTCTATAAAACTGTTAGGGTAATAATCAAACAGAATGAGGAAGAACATATTCTTATTAACCTAATTGGTAAAATTGAAGACCAAGACTTAACGGTCAAATATATCAAAAAATTAAGAGATTTGTTTGCTAAAAAGACACAAAACAATCTTTTAATCAAAACTGTTAATAAGTATTAACACCACAATGGAAAGATTTAGTAAGGAAAAAAAGAAAGA